AGCTAGATGTGCTCGCTGCCCTTGGGTAGCTCTGCTCCCAGTCCTCCTGGCTGGAGAGCTAGGACGTGATAAAAATTTCCACATGCACACATGCATAGGCCTACGTCTCTATCACTCATCCATCCATCCATCTGTCTATCCTTCCGTCTGTCCATCCATCCACCCACCCATCCATCCATGCATCCATCTTTCCCTCCTGTCCATCCATCCATCTGTCTTTCCTCACATCCATCCGTCATCCATCTATCCATCCTTCCACCCATCCATCCTTCCATCCAGCCTTCTGCCCATCCTTCCTTCCACCCATCATTCCTTCCATCCATCCTTCCTTCCTTGCATCCACCCATCTCCCTCTTGAAAGCAGTGAGTTGCCAGAGACAGAGCAGGTCACAGCCCAGCACCATGCCGTTCAGCCTGGTTTTTCCCACCCCGTACATGACTCCTTTCTCTAGTGGCGAGAACGGGTGCTCGTTGTTCCTCCTGAATGTCCTCACATGATGCCCCCACTCTGTCACCAGCCTCTCATGCCCGCTGCAGGCGCCGCCCTGCCTGCCTGGCACCGAGTCTCTGCTGGGGTGAGGGTCTCTTCCCTGGGATCTGCCCGGGGTGCTGACTTCCTTCCGGGGTGGACGGCCTCCTCAGCCCTCTGAGCTGGAAATCTGAGATAGTCATTAAGATGCTTCATGTGGAGGACTTGTGAGAGCATAATAACTAGTATCTATTATTAGTAGAAGTTGTGGTAGCCAGAAATCTAAAAATGGACCCTGAAGATTTTCTGCCTAAGCCATGGGATCGTGAGTGTGATGGGGGACCCGGCCTGTGTTGTCATGTCACGTGGTGGGAGGGGCTGCTGCAGATACAATTAAGGGGGCCGGTCTGTTGATTTGGGGTTACTGGGAGAGGAAGGGAGAGTCAGAGGGAACTGAAGGCCAGAAGACGACGTGGGCTCACTGGGTTTGCGGACGGAGTGGGGACCACAGGGTCCGAAGCAGTCTCTCGTGGCCGAGGGTTGTTCCGGCCAGAGTTAGGACGTCCACCCTGCGCTCACAGGACTTGACTTCCGCTGCCCGCCTCTCGGATTGGAAGTGGACTCTTCCCACAAGGCTCGTTTGCCTGACCTCTGGATTTTGAGCTTGGGGCCTAAAGAGAGAACCTAGTGAAGCGTGGCTGGACGTCCAGCCCGCGGGACTGGGCGGTGGCCCAGGTGCTGTTTAAGCAGCCACGAGCGGCCAGTGGTTAGAAGATGAGTGCAGCAGCTTGCTCGGGTGATGCTTGATAGGAAGTCGTTGCTTACGTCAGAGGGGCAGGGACCGAGTGGTGTGTGTGGTGCTTTGCCGAATGACGGTCTGAAGTCTGTCTCTCGGAGGTGAACGCCCTCTTCCTGTGGCATCTGAGCGAAGCCTGTCCAAGGAAAACTTCTACACAGCTGCAGGTGTGATGCTAACTAATCTGGAGCGTGCGCACGTGTGCATGCGTGTGTCCGTGTGTCCCTGAGGAGACAGCATTTTCTGGGCACCCTGAAATTCGGAGCACTGAGCCGGCCGGCAGACAAATCCTTGCGATCTCCTCGTCTGTAAGCGTATCGCTGGGAACGGACCCCTCCCAGACTCTGCGCTGGGGGCTGAGTGCTGCCTGCAGGAAGCCTGTGTGGTTGTATCAAAAAATAAACAGAACAAGAGCCACCACCTAGAGACAAACCAGGTGGGCGTAGGCAGGGAATGGGGCCCGGCGGATCCTGGGCCCTGGAGGAGCAGCCCAGTGGGGCCGAAGCCATGCTCTGAGAGGAGCAGGGACTGTGGAAACTGAGGCTCGGCTAAGGTGGCACGCAGCTCCTAAGGCTCAGAGCCGGAGCGTGCCACCCGGCCCCTGGCAGGGACGCGGCGCGGGGCTGGGCAGGCTGTTCCCGCCCTCAGACTCTGGCCCTGCAGTTCCTGGCTTCGGTTTCCTGATCAGGCCTCTTCCTTTGTGTCACAGATGTCTTTTCAGAGTATCTGGTTGCTATGTAAAGTTTTCCTTCTTCCAACCCACCGGAGTGCAATGTAAGGATAGTGTAGTGTGATCTAGGAAGCCTCTCTTACGACAATAAAAACAGAAGCCGCCTCTGCCTGGGAAGGGCCTAGAAGCTCAGGCTTCTGAGGGTCAGGTCCCCCCGGGAAGAGCCCAGCTCGACTGTGAACCGTGGACGGTGGGTGTGGTGGGCTCACTGGAGTTGAGAGCGGTCTCCCTATCTCCAGGCAGTTTTGTTACTCTTCGGGTCTGCTGAGCATAAGGAGAACGCTCCTCGTGGCTCGATGGTACAGCTTCATTCTCTTCTCATCCGGAAAACATTTCATATGTGCAAAATCTGCCACTTAACTTCTGGAAACAAACTGCTGATGCGACCTACTATCAACTTTGGCAGACTTCTCTTGCTCCAAGAAAGGTGTCAATGATTGTGCTGGTTGGAGGACGAAGTATTTCATCCGAGGTCCCCTGCAGATGAGCCTGCAAGTTGGTAGAAATGGCTTACAGCTAGACTGTCCTCAGGAGCTGTGATTTCAGTCCTCTCCGACCCAGGTGGTGGAGTGGAGTAGAAGTTTGGCAGATGGTTATTAGGGCTCTCTTTCAGGGGTGCAGTTTTTAATTTGGCTGACTTATGGAGGCTCAAATGGAGGGTGACCCACTTTTCCCTGGGTCAGAACAACCAGGGCATGGAGATAGTAATTGTTTCTTTTCCTTGTGGAAAGCTTGGGGGGCTCCCCAGTTGGCAGGCTGTGTTTCCCACATCTGGTCCGTAGAAAAGCCATGATTAGAAGAATGGATGTTTTCAAAATAAAGCCTCTAAGTTGCAGTGTGACTTTGTAGCCTGACGCTTTCTCCTAGTAATTCTGCCAGCCGAGCGGTAGCACGACAGGGCACTGTTCCACGTCCCTGGTAACGTGAGGCACAGTATCTCCTGCATCTGCGCCTGACAGCTGTTCACCAGGGAATGAAAGATTAGAGTCTGTGTCACCAAAGGAAAGCATGAGTCCCTCCAACGAAGCCTTTATAGGGATATTGGATTTGTCAGTTGGCAAGTTGAGGCTGCCACTCCCCGGAGAATTCTGTTTCTTTTAAGAATACTGTATATGTTTGTGTAAATTCAACAAAACACTGACACATACAAGATAAAAAGTTCTTATAATATACAATCTATATATTGATCACAGTACCATACACTTCAGCAGTCAGTATTTTACAAAATTGGTACGTGCATTTTCACACATTTCCCATGTAGCTTACTAACGGGCAGAGCAGTGTTAAATTCACAACTTTATCTTTCATTATGGTAATCTTTTTTCACCTGGTTTTAATTTTTGTTGGGGGGGCACGGCCAGGAATTAAACTCAGAGCTACATCTCTAGCCTACCCCTCTTTTAAAATTCTTTATTTTTGAGACAGGGTCTAGCTAAATTGCGTAGGTCGGCCTCAAATGTGTTTTCGTCCTACCTCAGCCTCCCAGAGTACTTGCCCCACTGTGCCTGGCTCCAATGTGATAGTTTTACCCTTGGCCCATTGCTGTGTATCACTCTTTTCCCCTCTTGCTCTGGGTTAAAAGAAGAAATATTTCGTAATTCCTAACTTACTGCTCTTATTTTAGCTGAGCAATTATGAACACAGTGGTTAGGGCCGTTTCACAGCTGGCCCTGGGAGTGCCCTGTTGTGAGCCCCGTCCGGGAGGGTAGCGTGCAGGAGCTGAGTGTGGCTCCTCTGGCCCGACCCATCCATTCTCCGCTCAGCAAGTTGCCGCCATAGGACTTTGGCCACTCAGTCGACGTCTCTCTCCTGTGGTTTTCTGACTTTGAACAAAAAAAGCGAATTCAGTGTCTTCCACCTACTAAAAGCTAAATAAGCATTAATAATAATAATAGCTGTGATAATAGCAGTGATCATCATTATCGAGTTAAGCCTTTTAGGTTGCAGACTTCACACACTGGGGTCTGTGTATGTTCAGCTCATTCATCCATCCACCTACTGAACTGGCTGTCCTAACTGTCCATGTGGGCCCGGGGTGTCACTGGGTGGAGTTGGATTCCTCTTCATCTTCTGGGTGCTGTGAATCTAATTGCAAGGCCACGTAGCACCCCGAAAGCAAAGCAGGTCACGTTGGTGCCCTAACCCTAAAGCAAAGCAGGTCACGTTGGTGCTGATTTATGTGGGCGTGCCTGCCGTGTGCGGGGGCACCTGTCATAAATGCTCCCCCGTGTGGGGCTCCTGTACTCCAGTGCTCCTGGAAGCAGAGGGGAAATAAATGGAGGGCATAATGGAACAAGGAATCCCTAAGTTAAAGATCTGCATTGGCTTGTTACCATAAATACAGCCTCAGTTACTTTTCCTACATTGGTGCTACAAGGGTTTACAGGAGTATGACTTGTTCTGTGGGAAATTATCAGGAGAAAAGACTTCACAAAAGAACTTTTAAGAGGGCTTTCAAAGCATGCGTGTGATTTCAGGCAGAGTTTGGGAACTGCGGTGCCTTGTTCGCTCTGTGCTAGCACAGGATGCAAATGCACTAGGCACAGCTCGTGAGAGCGAACGCGCCATCCAGACAGGAAGAGGGCTATGCACAGGGCCTATATTCTGAGACGTCAGCTGCTGCCATACGTGGGCTTGGAATGTCCTCAATTCAAATAGGAAGCTGGGTGTGGTGGTGCAAGCCTGTAACCCCAGCCCTCGGGAGGCTGAGGCAGGAGGATCCCTGCTAGTTCAAGGCCAGCCTGGGCTGCACAGTGAGTTCAAGACCAGCCTAGACTACATAGCAAGATCCTGTCTCAAAAAACCAATAGATAAGAGATAGATAGATAGATAGATAGATAGATAGATGTTAGATGATAGATAGATGAGGATTGGGGAGCTGTGAAGGATTTCGTGTTTGACGTGGGGCCTGGTGGTGGTGATGGTTCCACTGGAGGCTGGTGGGGCTGCATCAGCCACTGAATGGCTTTGTGTGCTGATTAAACTCACGGTTCTGTCTCTTTCAGGAAGTGCACGATTTGTTAAAGGACTATGAGTTAAAGTATTGTTACGTGGACAGAAACAAACGAACAGGTAAGGTTTTGGGTCTAAGCAAGTCATTTCATTTTGTTTCCACGTAGAGTCATTATAGAACACAAAAGCTTACTGTCTTTTCATGACTACGCTAATGGATGAAATTCTTAAGAAGTAAATCATAGCAGTATTACATAGTGCATTTCCTGAAAGCAATAACAGTATCCTAAATCACGACCAAATTATTGAATATGATGTTACTAGAGACTTGGGGCTTTTCAACAATGAATGTTCTCATGTTATGTGTTATTCTGAGCATTCTTCATAGGCTTGGGGGTCTTTAGTTTTTGCAGTGTTACTGGGCTTCGTGAATGGACTATGATCTGACCTTTTGCTGGACACATTGGGAAACTAGTTTAGTTTTTCTGAGTATTATTTTTATATCTGTGAGATTGAGACAAGATTTTTCCTTTGTTTGCATGTGATATGTAAAGGTTTAAAAGCATCTTTTTGAAATAAAGTATGGCAGATGATATAACTACTGTGTACACAAGTACTCCCAAGTTAGCAAATGTTTTTGTTTTGTCTTTAAAAAGTACATACAGGCTGGGGCTGTAGCTCCATGCCAAAGACTTGTGTAGCGCTGCAAGGCCCTGGGTTCCATACCCAGCACTATAAAAAATAAAATAAAAATTTAAAAGTATATGCATGTTAGAGCCTTAATTTAAGACTCGTTGAATTTTTTTCAGACTTGGGGGCGGTGGGGGGCAGCAATAAAAAGAACATCACACATGGAGATGAGATCCAGTTTCCACTACTGTCTGCTGGTGATCCTCCTGCCTCGGCCTCCTGAGTGCTGGGCTTGATTACAGGTGTGCACCACCACACCTGGTGAGATTTGCTTTTTGATAAATCTGAGTGGACATGGCAGTGTGCCTTTTGGACGGAGGATGTCAGAGCCAGCATGTGGCTGACCACTGCCCACCCTGGCCCCACAAGAGGTTGGGAAGGCGAGGGGGCCTCTTCCAGCCCAGGTCCCCGAGGGCCTGAGGGACAAAGCCTTCTTCCGTGCCCACCTCCACCACTGCGGTGTGAGGCAGGAACTGGAAGAAGACCTTTGGTTTGGTTTGGGCATTGAGATTGGGAGGCTGTGTGTGTGTGTGTGTGTGTGTCTGTGATTCAATCACAGTATCTTGACTAAAACCTATAATTTTAGTGTAATTATACATGATTAAAGATACTGTTCTTTTCAAAAATATATATAAACCATGTTCTGTATGTTTCATTTAGCAAGTTTTCCCCAGCAAGGTCTTCTCAGATTTTTCCATGTTGATACATGTAGCTCCAGCTCATTGATTGAAGTTGACTTGTTACTGTGTCTGAGATATTGTCACAATGGATGTATCTATTTCTGTTAGGCTTTTAGGATGCTTCAACTTTTGCATTATTGGAAACAATGTTGCAGTACCTTTCTCTAATATGCATTGCAACTTTTCCTCCACAATTGAAGTGCTGGGTCATTCTGTGGTAGTGAATATGCTGCAGCCAGTTTGTTATCATAAAAAGCTCTAAAAGGTTTGCCATTGCTGGATAGATAGTGACAGGGGCATTGGAGGAACTGTCTTCCAGCTCCCAGCCAGGTTGATAAACCTCCTAATTCTCACAGCACCAGGAGGAATATTTAGAAAGGGTCTTCCTCAGTCATGGGGAAAATTACATCTACTTTAGCAGTGCTCTTGTCCTACTAACAAAGCTTAAAAGCAGTAACTGGAAAGATCAAAGTATTTGCTGGTAACCTAGCCACACCTTAGAACACAACTCAAAAATATTAAAATTAATACAAGATATCTAGCACCCAAACCCAGTAAACTCACAATGTCTGACATCCAATACAAAATTACTAGACATGCCAGAGAAGCATGGAAATACCTATCATGAGTAGAAAATCAATCAAAGCTGACCTAGAGTTTCACAGATAAATTAATGAAAATGGACATTAAAGGAGTTTTTATATTTGTGTTCCTTACGCATACGAAGTTGTAGTAATGATTGAACAAGTAAGGAGAAGAATGGAAGATATTGAAAACTATCCAAATCATACTTCTAGAGATGGAAACAACAGTCTCTGGATTTAAAAATAAATACACTGGATGGGAAGAACAGAATAAGCATTGCAGAAGAAAGAACAGTAAACCCAATGATAGAAATGATCCAGAATGGAAGAGAAAAAGTCGACTGAAAACATGAAGTTTTATCAGTGAGCCATGGGTCAACTTCAGATCCCTAACACTGGAGGACTGCAGTCCCCGAAGCAGAAGAGGCTCCTACAGATGATATCTAAGGAGTCAGTGGCTAAAAACTTTCTAACTTCTCTGAAAAACTGTAAGCCCAGACGCCTGCAAAGCTGAACCAACTCCAAGCACATAAGCTGTAAGAAAAATCGTAATAGCTGGGGATTAGCTCAGTGGTTCCGCTGCCTGCCTCGAAACTGCAAGGTCCCGAGTTCAATCCCCCACACCAAAAAAAAAAAAAAGAAAAACCATAATTAAATTGCTTGTAATCAGCAATAAAGAGAAAATCTACATGTAACAGAAAAGAAAAAAACAGGGGAGAGAGAGAGAGGTTTTATTTAGAAAGAGATTACAAATCTCTTGGAAACACGATACAAAATCACAGGCAAACATCTTTTCTTTCTTTGTTGAAAGAGAAAGTGGCCAACATAAAACTCTTTACCATTGAAATATGCTTCAAAAATGAATATAAAATAAAGATGTTTTTCAGCCATACAAAAATATTGAAAGAATTCATCACCATGAAACCTGTATTATAGGAAATTCACACAGGTGTGCACACAAATCCCAGATATGAGGGCGGGGATGTAGCTCATGGTAGAGCACTTGGCTTGCAGGCCCTGGTTCCATCCCAGCCCTGGGGGGAGGGAGGGACAGACAGACAGAGGAAAAGAGGGATGGAGGGGGAAAGAAAGAAAGGGGAAAGAGCCAGATATGGTCATTATATGGGTAAAGTTAAAAAAAAATATTTAAAGCTCTTCAAGAGATAACTGTTTAAAGCAAAAATGATGACTGCGTTATGAGATTTATATTGCACGTAGGAATAAAATGAGGAATAATACAGAGGCAGGCCTGGAGGGAAGCCAGGAGCCTACACTGTAGTTGCTGCCCTGTCCACGGAGCGGCGTCGTGGCACTTAGCGGTAGATGGTGCTGAAGCAAAGGAGGTATAAGGCAAGCCCTAAATCCGGTCCACGCAGCACAGCAGAGGAGCTCACTGACTGGGTGAAGTAATGGTGCCTTGGTTAAATAATGTTGCAATGGTGGTTTCCGTAGAAATATATGTAATTAATCATTTTTTAAAAGATGGTTACCGCTATAAACTAAAACCTTAAATTAGAGCTTTCTGTGTAGTGGCATGAATACACATTGTCTTAATATAGGAGCAGGACACCGTGATGCACACCTATGATCTCAGCTCTCTGGGAGGCTGAGGCAGGCGGATTGCAAGTTTAAGTCCAGCCTGGGCAATTTAACAACATAGCAAGACCTACCTCAGAGTTTAAAAGAGGGCAGCTGGGGACACAGAGGTCCTAGGCTCAATCCCTGGTAACTGAGGCAAATGATGACTACATTAGGGAACCAACTGTTGGCATGCTGCCCATCAAATCTGTCCAGATAATAAGTTAATTAGTAGAGCAGGCCATGACTCGTGCAAGGATTAGGATCAGTTGGGGAATACTTCAGTTTCACGAGAAAATAATAGTAGGATTAATGCTAAAATCCCTTACAAACTGTAAAGTGACTGCTGCCATTTCCACGAGAGCCAATGTGAACAAAACTTAGTATTTTTAGAGAATTTGTGGTCTTGGAGAGAAATGAAGACACTATGCATGGGGAAAACAGCCTTTTTCCTGCTGCCTGAACTTAATCTGCTCATGTCCGTGATTTATTTTCTCCCATACGATTTCAAAGTTGGGTTGAGAAAAATACAGCCATGCAGGGAAGGACAGAGGGGAGAGTGGTTTTTCGGGTGTGGTGGTCTGTGGATGCACACGCTCACCCTGCACTCCTCCCGGGCATGTACGTGCTCTCTGCGGGGTTCACCCATGGGTAACAGGGCGCCCGCCTTGTGGTAGCGAATGGGCACCTAAGCAGACAGACGCTGCAGAGTCGCCCTCCAGTCACCGGTGATCACAGTGTGGCCGCCCCGCGGGGCCCTGGAAGTCAGCTGAAAGGGAGGAGCAGGGTGACTGGGCCACGTGCAGGTGGACGCCCAGGTGACAGGCATCTTCAGAGAGCAGGTCACCCCGTGCCCCTGGAGAGCAAAGGTGAGGGCTGCAGGCCTGGGGGTCCCGGCACCCAGGGGCGCAGCGTGAGGGCCGTTCCCGGCCTGCCTGACACTTCTGGGTTGGGAGGTGATTCACTGTCATTGTGGAGCAAAAGAACACACGGGAGGAGCAGAGGAGCTGGATGGGGGGATGGGGCCACCCCAACCTCTGGCTCGAGAGTTCGCCGTCCCCAGGCAGACGGAGACTCGGGGAGACAGGCGGCAGCGGGGCGCTTTGCTGTTTTGTGTGCTGTGTTCTGTGGAGATAGGAAGGAGATTGCGAGTCATATTTGGACAGTCAGTGTGCGCACACGTGTGTGTGCATGTGCGTGTTCACATGCACGTATGTGTGGAAGTGAAGATTTAAAATACAGGGTTAGGAGTCAGCAGCGTGTGCGAGGCCTTTTGGGCCCTCAGCTTGGGTGATTGTGTTTCACACTCTCACTCGATGCCTGATCATAATGTCCCGGGAAGCGGGGAAGTGGGGAAGCGGGGAAGCAGGACCGGGACAGCGATTCCAGCTCCCTGGGAAGCTGGAGAAGCTGGAAGCTCAGTGCTTCCCCTGGCTGTGCGCTCCTCTCCAGGCTGTTTGGGTCATGGCCAGCTCGCCGGAGGTGACGCCTCTGTGACTCTCTCTGATTTTCAGATCATCCCATTGTTTTTTAAAAGCAAGACTTTCAAATATCCTTCTCAAATGGCTTAACAGATTTCTTTTTTGTGATAAAAGATAAATCAATATGGTTAATGTTAAGTTGCTAGCAGATGTGAATGTATATTTAATTGGTTTAGAACCTACTTGTTGGATACTTTTGATTGTGTAAATTATCATTGCATTTTTTTTTTTGCTCAATGCTGGAGCAACCCCATTAGGTGGAAAGGATGAATTTTTAAAAAATTGTTTTACCAGGATTCAATTAAGTTCTTTGTCCAAAAAGGAATGCATGATCTTTTCATTAGATGCCGTTCACTAGCAGAGTGCACAAGGTTGTCTACATATGCGGGTTCTTTCAATCTGAATGGTTTGAGTTTAAGGAAATTAAATTAATTGGAAAGAACTGGTCTCCTTTGGGTATTTTGGTGGCCTTTTGCTGTACTCTTATTTCTTTTTGTTTGTTTGTTTGTGTTGTTTTTGTTTTTGTTTTTTGTTTTTGGTCCCGGAGATCGAACTTGGGTCCTTGTGCTTGCGCAGCAGGGGGCAAAACCACTGAGCTAAATCCCCAGCCCTGTTTTGTTGGTTTTTTGAGAAACAGCTCTGGGAGTCCAGGCTGTGTAATCCAGGATGGCCTTGAACTCACCATGTAGCCCAGGCTGGCCTTAAACTTGCAGTGATCCTCCTGCCTCAGCCTCCCAAGTGCTGGGGCTGCCCACCACACTGGACTTGTACTTAGGTCAACCTGGGAAGAAAGGAAGGTTTTGTAACCACTTTTTTTTAATCAGTGAGGTTTTTTTATTTTTTTGGTACCGGGGATCGAACTCAGGTCCTTGCGCTTGTGCAGCAAGCAGCAAAACCACTGAGCTAAATCCCTGGCCCCTATCAGTGAGTTTTTTAAAATAAAGTCTTCATGCAGTTTTGTATAACAGGTTGTTGCGGGGGGGGGGGGGATTCGAATCTGCGTGTGGTTGGAAAATCCCGAAAATCTGGCGACTCTTATGTTAGAACTCCTGACATAATTCTGTGCTTTCCATGTGAGCAACAGGCCATGGAATTAGTTTAGTGCAGGGATCAGCGTTAAGAAGGAAAATCCCATGAAGGAGATATTTAAAAACCAGGGGGATCTGACTGCAGGATGGATTTGCTTCAGAGCCCGTGTGCGGACGGAGCCACGGTGCAGAGGAAACCCTCCCTGTGGGTCACGGTCAGGGACCCTGGACAGCACCACCCTCGCGAGGCCCTGAGCTTGCCTCACTCTCTCGCAGCCTTCGTCACCTTGCTGAACGGGGACCAGGCCCGCAGCGCCATCCGGGTGCTCCACCGATCCTCCTTCCGCGGCGAGGACTTGATCGTCCAGCTGCAGCCTACAGACGCGCTGCTGTGCGTCACCAACCTGCCCCTGTCCTTCACATTGGAGGACTTTGAGGAGCTCGTCCGTGCCTACGGCAACATCGAGAGGTGCTTCCTGGTCTACAGCGAGGTGACCGGCCTGTCCAAGGGCTACGGCTTCGTGGAGTACATGAAGAAGGACTCGGCGGCCAGAGCCCGGCTGGAGCTGCTGGGGAAGCGGCTGGGGCCCTGGGTGCTGTTCGCGCAGTGGATGGACGTCAACCTTCTGGCCTCCGACCGCGTCCACTCCAAGTGCCTGTGTGTGGACAAGCTCCCTGCGCACTTCAGCGACACAGAGGAGCTCTTGCAGTGCTTGTCCAGGGTCCACACCCCTGTGTTCTGCCAGGTACGTGTTTCATGAGCTCAGTGGAGATATTTAGAAATACTTGCATGTGTGTCTCTTCCTGGGGAGCTCATGAATCCCTTTGTCCTGACCCATGGGCAGTTTGGCCGCTCTGCTCTGCAGTAAGGTTTTAATCCCCGGGGAGTTTTAAACCAGTCCCTGTGTTGGGGACTGAGACGATGTCCCAGGTAGTCGGCGCTCACACAGCCCGGCACCCCAGCTGTCCGTCCGTCCGTCCAGCCATCTGCCTGTCCCGCTCTGTGCCTGACAAGTGCCAGGGCTGGGGATGCAAGACTCTGAGGTTCCCACTCAGCTGCCAGACTGCTGCATGAGAGAACGAGGCAGCGCTTGCGAGCCCTGTGTGATACGTGAGACAGGGCGGAGGGGTGTGAGGGAGCTGAAGGACACACACTCCCCTCTCCCGGGGCCCGGGGTGGGTGTGGGGAGACCCCGAAAGGTGCATCTGACTCAGCTCCTCCGCCGCCGGTCCTTCTCCTGTCTCTCCGCTCTCCCCCACCCCTTCCCTCGCAGTCTTCTGGTCTCACCGCCCCTCTTTCCTTCCCTCCCTCTGTTTCCCTCAGTCCCACATTTGTGGGACTCCTGCTATTGCAGAAGTGTTGGAGATGGGGTCTGTGTGCGTGTGCATGTGCACATTTAAATTAACAGATAAGCTTTACACAGGGATTATATACAGCGTGTTCTGCATGGGGTCGAACACTAAGCCTAGCGTGACTCACGGGCAGCCTGACTGCCCGCTGTCCTCGCATCTTCAAGGAGCCGGAGTGCGATGACCCCATCCTAGAACTCATCTGCCCATCTACCTGAGCCTTTGTGTCCCTTGACAGCTTCTCTCCAGACTCCGGCCCTGCCCGACACCCTCCCCACCTCTGTGACCTCCTGAGTACTCTGTTTTGAAGTCCCATGGTTTTCGATTCTGTGTACAAGGGTCTGATATGTCTGTTAGAAGGGATAAATAAGTTGGATAGGCAATTATTTAAGATCAGTGCTGTCATCTTACTTTTTCTCAAATCGTCACCCCTTCAACTGCAATATAATAAACACCAAAGAAGCCACCCAAGAGTTGTGTGCCGTTAGAATGCTTTGCAACAGCCCCCAGCAGTCGGCTAGGCGTGTGCACTCAAGTCACCACGTGGCTTTGTCCGTGGCTGTGGAGCTCCCTGGGGCTGAGCCAGGGCCCGTGGAGCAGGGTGAGGGCAAGTCCGTTCCCCAGCCCTGCCTGTGCTCGGCTTGTAAATCCCCGGGTCGGAAGGAGCCTGGCAGTTACCCAGCTAGGCCACAGGGACGGAAGCTGTTCACCGGGTCTTGAGTGGCCAACTAGCTTCTGCTAAAATACCTCAAAACAATGGAGCATGAACTGGACCCAGAGGCCAACCCTGCGATCTGTGAAGCTCTCAGATAGAGCTGAGATTTTCCCATTGAAAAAACCAGTGCTGTGGATTTAGTGAGCCCACCTTCTGAAAGACATAAAACAACATCATCTGTAGAGGAGTGAAGGTCAGCATAATCAAACAGGAAGTGATATTTTTACAGTGTGCTAGAGTATTAAGACAGCCTTAGGGCGCCCCCTGTTGGTGAGTCTCTGAAATTCTGCCTGGCAGAGGAGCCCCGAGCCCGTGGCTTTGGCCAAGTTCCGTGGCCTCTGGCTTGGAGCAGGGAGGGCAAGGCACATCTAGAGCAGCAGGAATTTCCCCTTCCCTATGGGGTTGGGAAGAGTTATGGAGAAAAAGATATTTGAGGACAGTTTTAAAAGAGAAAAAGAACATGAAGCAAAAAGGAAAGTTTATTCCAAATACCAACAAAGTAGAAGAAAAGTTTTAAAAATAAAAGAAACCAGCTGGGGATTTAGCTCAGTGGTGCCGCCACCTGCCTTGCAAGCTCAGGGTCCTGAATTCAATCCCCAGTACCAAAAATATAAAAAAATAAAAATAAAAGAAACCAGCAAGGGGGTGGGGATTTAGCTCAGTGGTTTCGCCACCTGCTGCACAAGCACAAGGACCTAAGTTCGATCCCCAGTACCAAAAAAAAATGAAAGAAACCAGCAAGACGTGGTGGTGTACACCTGTAATCCCAGCACTCTCAGATGTTGAGGCAGGAGGACTGCAAGTTCAAGCCCAATCTGAGCAACTTAGTGAGACTCTGTCTCAAAATAAAACAATGAAAAAGGGCTGAGGACGTAGCTCACTGCAGAAGCTCTGGTTCAATCCCAGTGCCACAGAATTAAGTAAAATAACAAGAAACCAAAGCCCTTGAAAAGATTTTCTTTGTCATATCAACCTGCGAGGTGCAGGCCTGAGCAGGAGCGTCCAGTGTGTCCCCTCAGACAGGCCCAGCAGACCTCTGACCACGTCTGTCACTTTGCAGCTAAATGTACAGGCGGCCGTTGAGACGCGCTGCAAGCCGCTGCCCGCAGTGCCCTGTGCTGCTCTAGCTTCTGCTCTTTGTGCAGCCTTCACCGATCCCCCTCCTGCAGGTGGCTGGACGCATGGCCAGTGTCACAGCGCCCGGCCTGCTTTGGTGCTTTCACAGCCGGGCACACTTCTCCCAAGCAAGGGTCGCGCTGGTATTCTCGACCAGATTCCTGGGCTCTGCCAAAATACTGAGATAAAAGTTGAATGTGGTTCCTCCCCCTTTCTTGGCTGGATGATGCGGACTTTGTTTTATGTCATTGTGGTCCAGCCTGGTGGGTGGCGCACACCTGTCATCCCAGCACTCGGGAGGCTGAGGCAGGAGGATCACAGGGAGTTCGAGGCCAGCCTGGGCTCCGTAGTGAGTTCAAGGCCAGGCTGCACTACACAGCGAGACCCTGTCTCAAAAAAAAAAAAGTCAACAGGCACTTGTTTATCTGTCCGCCTCCAAGACCAGGAAGGCTGCACCTGCACCGCAGCAAACCCTTGCTTCCATGGGGTAGGAGCGCTTGGGCACCAGTGTGCCTCTGCCTTCTGTTCTTGTATCTGTTGCTGTGTCCCGGCAGCTGGCGCAGGACGAAGGGTGCTGCATGGGGCGCTTCGCCGTGGTGGAGTACAGCAGCCCAGAGCATGCCGAGGAGGCGCGGCAGGCGGCCGCCGGCCTGAGCATCGGGGGCAGCGCCATCCAGGTCTCCTTCTGTGCCCCAGGGGCGCCAGGCCGGAGCACATTGGCGGCCCTGATTGCAGCGCAGCGCGTGGTAAGGTTTCCCTTTCCTATTTATTATTGTTATTATCGTTAGCATCATTAGGGTTTTGTTTGGTTTTGAGACTGCGTCTCACTGTGTAGCCCAGGCTGGCCTTGAACTCGTGGTGATCCTTCTGCCTCAGCCTCCCGAGTGTTAGGATGACAAGTGCACACCAGCCTGCCTGGCTTTCCTCTAAGTGATAGGGAAATTCTAATATTGTGCTATCTTCATGGATGCCATGGATCCAAGGTAACTGGTCGCAGATTGGACTGTTATATTTCTGTGACACTGAAGGCATTCAACATGGTCATCTTGTTTTAAAAAGTTGGTTAAACAGCATGGTAAATGAAGCCAGTTCTCAACAGAAAGGGAAATTGTGTTTACCAAAGTACATTCATCTTAGAAATGTTTGAAAGGAATTTCACTCATCCAGCAAATATTTGAGTTGCCATTCTGTTTTACGTTTTGAGTGCAAGACACCTGCTTTTGCAGAAGTGTTTGAAAGTGTTGTAGTTACTTTTCTCACTACCAGGATACAATACCCAACACCCACAAAGGGTGAGAGAGAGGAGAGGTTTAAGAGGTTAAAGGAGGAGAGGTTTATTTAGCTCACAGTTTGTGGAGGTTTCAGTCCATAATTGGCTGGCTCCAAGGCACATGGCAGAAGGGTGCTACAGAGGAGAAACAGTCCATGGCAAGGAAGGCAGGAGGGCATCGCAGAGGAGAGACAGTCCGTGGCAGGGAAGGCAGGAGGGCATCGCAGAGGAGAGACAGTCCGTGGCAGGGAAGGCAG